ATAGGAACGAACATGCCGAACTCCATCCCACCTCAGCTTCCGATTCCTCTCGTTTATCATCATTTATTTATCTCTTTCACGAGCATTGAGTTACTACTCCACGGCGAGCTAAGCAAGGGCTATTCGTCTTGAAGTAATTTAAGGCATGCTAGTGATGCAGGAGCATGTAAATTAATACCCTCGCAGCCGTGCCTCTTGATAGGCACAGACTTGTCGAGCCATAAGACATTGACTGCCTGGACTCATTTTCTTTCAAGGATGATCTCCAGCCACTAGACCAGCTGCAACTGAAAACCTGGCAAACCCGGAAGGTCCACAGCCCTTCACCTCCCTACTCCCTAAATGAATTGCTTGCTCTCTTTTGTTGCACAATGAGCTGGGTTGAATCAAATTATGAGCAAGGCTTTGCTTCCAATACGATTCAGTCCAACTCATTGTGCCACAAAGGAGAGAAAGGTTTGAGGCCAAGGAGGCGCCCAGGGCCCTCGCAGAGTAGAAAGAGGGTGGCACAGCCGAAACTCGGCATAACTGAGCTCAATCAGTGTTCTGGGAAAGATGTTTTCCGAAGCCGAGTCCGCACCACTCACTTGCTGTAGTTGAGTACAGTTATTGAACGCATGATACCCGATCTCGCACAGCTGAAGGGGTACATTGATTGTTAGGCACAACGTGCATTGAGTATTAAAAACCGTGGCCCCAAGTGTGCGCACAGTAGCTGGAAGGCGAGCGTGGCGTAGATTGGTGCACAAATGAAAAGAGTAGCCACCAAGAACGCAAATCCCTGATCGACAAAAGAGCCTCCGGTGAAACACAAGTGCACCGCAGTAAAAGTAGAAACAACTAAAAAGAGACAGACCGACAGACCTGGCTCTCAGTTCAACTTGTACATTGTATATACATGAAGTCATTCTTTATCATTATTTGATATTCTTTGTTTTTTCTTATATCACCAAATCAAAGCAAGGGAGGTCCAGGAGGCAAGAAGTCCATAGGTGTTGTGAGTCGGGGATACTCAACCCTGGTAAGCACTAAGACCCAGAGCCCAGGCAAGCACACCTGAGAGAGCTTTCATATCGCTTTTGCGTCAGCCTGGCAAAAGCTTGCTTGGCTTGGAGGTACTGCTAAACATCATCCAGATCTTGGAACAGCATGCCCGTGTCCAGGAAGCTGGGCTAGGAGACTGCAAGGCCGAGTTTGGAAGCAAGTTAAGCAAGGTCTACAGTCTTCGGCTTTCTTTGGAGAAACGCAAGCTCACTGGCGAAAGATGGCAAGATTTTCTTCCAGGTGGAGCCCTTCGCTTCAGAAGCCAAGGCGTGCAATGAGACAGCAGGTCGCAAATCGAAATCTCTCTCCAGCATTGCCGATCCAGGAGCTCCCGTACTGCTCTGGCACTCATGCACAGATGCAAGGTGTGGACCTAAGGTGCAGTAGGTAGAGAGAGAGAGAGAGAAAGAGAGAGAGAGAGAGAGAGAAAAAAAAAAGAGAGAGAGAGAGAGGGAGAGAGCGAGGGAGCGAGCGAGCGAGGGAGGGAGGGAGGGAGCCGTTCCTGGGTCTGCTGCATCAAACATCATCAAACCATGGTTTTGCTTTGTCAGTCACTGTTGGCGATCCACCATGCTGGAGGCCAGTGCACTGTAGGCGCAGCACGTAGCGCTGTTGACAACTCAGAGCGTGCGTAGAATTGTTCAATTCATTGTGGACATGTGCCTTACAGCCTTACATCAAAACCTTTGAACTGATACTTTGGGCATAATTAGTATGCATAAAAGGCTTGTAGAGGCTTATTTAATCTTATTTAGGTGTATACAGACTCCAAATGGTATAGCTGTTCAAATCTATAGAGTCGTTCAGCATTTCCTGACTCTTTGGTTCGAGTTGTTCCCTCATCTCCCGAGAAGCTGTTGGCCTCAAACACTGAAGGCCCGAAATGGCGCCACCGAGGTTGGCAAGCTAAAGAGACGTGACTAAAGAGATCTAGATGTGACATGAAGATGCCGTCATTTCAAGGGCTCTCCATGTTAAGGGTGAAGGTTGTTGGAGTAATAATGTGGGAAGGTCAGACTGGTCGTGCTATTCTTTCAGTAAATGAGAGTTCTTTATTGTTCTTGTGGGTCCTATTACTCAATGCATATGTTATAAAATTTGAAAAGGTGTTGGTCACTTCCTAAGTCCAATGCAAGTTGGTCAGGAATACTTAGAGCTGCTGAGTGATCTAAGTAAGTTGTGCCACTGTTTCAACTCGGAGGACGGAGGAGAAGCCTCAAGCTGTGTGGTGCAACCAGATGAGCCAGGCGCAGGAGGTCTGCAGGGACCAGGGAGAACGGCTGAGAAGACAAATTAGTGAGCAGCTGCAAATGCGCTTTTATCATGGGAAGTGCCATCAAGATAGCAAAGACCAAAAGTCCTCCTAGGTGCACCTAGGTTTAGGAAGGCCATGAGCAAGGGATATTTATCAAGACAAGTAATTTGTTTACACTTTGAAGACACCGACGATTCCAATGCTCAAGACTCAATACCCTACTTCTTCCCTGTCATGGAGCAGCAGGCTTTTTGCACCCTATGCCCCCAGAGGCCTGAGACTTAGCACATGCTGCAGCCTTGTTGCAGATGGACCGCAGTGAGTGTAGATAACGCTCGCACATACTATCAAAAAATGCGTTGCACTTTCGCGATTCACAAGTTATATACCTCATCCTACTATGGTACAAAAAGTTGAACATTTGCAGGGGTGTGGTGGGCAGCCTTGGTGTTGAGAGGTTTGAATCTAGACTCCACCGTGACTTGAGTCATGCATGTTGCTTCTGAAAGCCTGTTTGCATCAACACCCCTTCACATACAACAAGCGTGGCTTGAGCGCTGACTTCGAGTTGAGCTCTCCTCTTTCGAAATCGTGCGACAAAGTGTTGATTCAAGAGGTGCAGTTCCTTGGATCTCAAAAGCTCTCATTGCTCATAAACGTTGGAACTATGGTGAAGAAGTTGTTCCTTGTTGCGTTGTATCTTCTATGACTGATGGTTTGGTCCCCAAATCCATGTCAAGTCAAAGCATCATCGAGGGTTCATTCATCCTGGACTACCTGATCAGGCATTGGGTGATAGGAAGCTTTAGGGGCTCCTGGCATCGCTACTAGGAGCAAGGACGCTACTATACAAGGAGCAAAGGGCATCGCTACTAGGAGCAAGGACGCTACTAGGCAGAGGGCGCATTTGGCCTCAGGGTTGGCATCCTTCCTCAGTTTTTGCGTTGACTTCCCAGCTTGTTCCCAGCTGCTCAGTCTTTGGCCGCGCATTGAATCCCGAAAGGGAGGCGAATGTGGTGCTGTGTCTTGTCTTGCCTTCTCACCTGCTGGACTTTGCCCTCAGTCCGGCCAGCTGATGTCTGCATCCCTAGCCTTACTTCTGAAGTGAGATCACAAGGTTAAGACTGCTTCCTCAACTCCTTTGGAACCCTGGTTCTGTGTAGCCTAGGCTCATATAAGGCTTCCGGCACACATCTCTACAAGCGCCCTGAACAACCATCAAGCAAAACTAGCACAAAAAGTTGTGTTTGCCTTCGTTTGCTTGCTTCTTCCTCAAGCAAAGGGGGGTTGCCCAATCACCTCGAGCAAGAAACTATCCAATATCCTTGATGTCGGTGAGTGACTCATCCAGGAAAGTATTGCAAACACCGTATGACCTTTGCCGCATTTGGCCTGTTACTGACTGCGTGAATTGTTTTTGTGATCTCGCACGACTTGTTGTTTGATCACTCAAGTGAGTGGTGGAACAAATTGATGCGCCTGCCATGTGTCACTCTCATAACCCTCATCCTCATATTATCAACCGGACAATTTAATGTATGACACATGTCAGAGGGTTCTTCCAAACAGGTCATTGCAGATTCCACGGCTCGGAGGGCCAGAAGTTTGGAGGATGGTGAAGAGGCGTCAAAAATGCACTCAACACTTTGAGGGGCATGTTAAGTTGCAGCCTTCTTTGCAACTATTTCTTAGGTCATGCAACTCAACTTGCAGGGTGATATACTGTGGTTGGTGCCACTGACTTTTTCCAGTGACTCATCCTCTAAGGAAGTGTGAGCAGTTGGACTCATAATTGTATTAATTACAAAAAGCTTGCTCACTCACATCGACTGCAAAGAAGGACAGGGCTTTGCAACAGTGCACCTTCCAAGTACGTTTGTTTGACGCTGCAACAGCACGTTTGTGCGCGCTTCATTTGATTGCAGGCATCTTCGCCTGTACCATTCCGCCGCTGTTTCAGTGACAGTTTCCAGCCACTGCAAGCGGAGGCGGGACGGATGGCGTGAAGTCTATGCAGAAAAGGCACGTGTTGGTGTACATAATATGTGTACACAAAAGTTTTTTAGTTACACACGCATATGCATAAGTAAAATTATGTAAACTCCAGCAATCCGCCCTTGGCGGGGCTTCTGCATCTTCATTGGCAGCAGAGCGCACCAGCAAGCTATCAGTAGCCACTCCCTTGAAAACCAGGAAATTATCCGAAGACTAGTTTCCGAAGAACACCGGGAAGTTTCCGAAAATGACCCTGGCAACGCTCCAAGAAGTTTGGTACTTGGGCTCAAGCCAAGATGCTGACTTTGAACAATGGCGGCCGTTTTCTGACGAAGAAATCGGGAATGTGATGCAGCCCCGCTTTCTCCGAAAACCTAATGGGAGATGCACTGGGAGAAGTGTTCTTCCTCTCGGCTCTCGATGCAGAGTCAATGAAAGAGGTCTTCGATCGATGTGACTGTTGGGCCAGTGTCAAGTTCCCAGCGGCTGCTGAGGGACGGATGGCCTTCAATTGTGCTGGGCTGTTGGAGGAGCACAAGCTTTGTGACAGCAAAGACACAAGGTCACAAGATGATTTGTCCTATGAAGTGGTAGATAACTCCCATTTTGCGATCATGCTTTTCAATGCACACGGCAATCAGCCGAAGCTCTTCATGTCTGCCGGAAGAGGATGACCTTGAGCACGAGCTTCTCCAGTCAATTTCTCTTGTCTGAAATACGTTGAAGCTTTCAATGCAGAACACAACCACGGCTGACGATGCGATCGTCTTTGAACAAGAAGAAACCAGAATTTGGTGGCGACTTGGAAGGCGAGGCGAAAGGAGATAGGGATAGGGATTCCGCCATGGCTTTTATAGCATTGAGAAGAGAGAGTCCCGCGCTGAGGTTGAGGAGCTCAAAAAGCACATTAAGTGCAATTGGCAGTATGTAGTGGTCTCTCCCAAGCAGGAACAAAAAAAACTATCAAAATTCGATAATGTTCCAGCCACAAACAGGAAACGCGACAAAAGAAGTGGTCACAAGCCACATCAACTGCTAGACAAGGAGGCTACCGTTCCCACTGCGGAGTTTTTGAGAAGTGTAACAGTGTAACTCCAGCATTGATGCCCGCGGAATATGCTAGACGGTTGATATAACTAGAGTAAAAATGGTTACTTATATGCCAACCATCACTGTGGCTCCATCCGTTTGGGCACATGTTCACGGCTGTCTCACGCAATACCTTTCACGCAACATGCATTCATTTTTCTAGTCTCCTATTTTCTCTCGGACCCGCGTACTGTATTGTTGCGACTGCGGCTACACAACACCACCACTAATTACCACTATTTGTTTTGCTTGATTGACGACGACTACTACTAGTTACTACTTCTACTACTACTACTACTAATAATAATAATAACTACTACTACTACTACCACCACCACTACTACTACTATTACTACTACTACTACGACTACTACTACTACTACTATTACTAGTGCTACTACTACTACTACTGCTGCTGCTGCTGCTGCTACTACTACTACTATCTACTACTAATTGCTCCTACTCCTACTCCGACCACTACCACTACCACTACTACTACCACCACTACCACTACCGCTACCACTACCACTACCACTACTACTACTCCTCCTACTGCTACTACTCCTCCTCCTCCTACTACTACTACTGCTACTGCTACTACTACTACTATTACTACTACTACTACTATTACTACTACCACTACCACTACTACTACTACCACTACTACTACTACTACTGCTACTACTACTACTACTATTACGACTACGACTACGACTACGACTACCACGGCTATACTAGGACGACGACTACTACTACTACTACCACTACTACTTCTACTACTACTACTGCTACTACTATTACTACTACCACCAGCACTACCAGGACTCCGACTACGGCCTACGACGACATCGTCGACGACGACTGGTACTGGTACCACTCCTGTTCCTAGTAGGCCTAGTTCTACTTTCATTACTCCTACTTCTACCACTCCCCCACCCTCTAGTGCTACTGCTGTTGGACGTTCATCTTCTCGTTCGCGACTGCCAGGAGACTAAGATCCAGTGGCCCGAGAGAGAAGGACGCGAGGTGCAGATTACAGGAGGTTTGATAAGTGTCCGTCTTGCAATAGTAGTTCGAGACACAGAAACCACCGACCGAATGTGTTGTAGGGTCTATAGGGGCCTATGGTTTGGCGATATCGACTGTGAGATGATGCGCATAGTGGAATCTGAAACCTTCGTATCCAAACCTTCTCAAGTTTTCCACCTGATCCTGCCCAAATCACCAAGTTCTAGCTTTGGGTGTGCTTGTGACCATCCGACCCGCGTCCCTGCGTAGTGGACCACAAACAGCGCTGATAAATTGCACAAAGGAATCAAACCAAATAGACTGAGAGAAAACCTCATACTGGCCTGAACGAGTTTGGCACCCCGTCTATGCAGCCCTGCCAAGAAAAATGCACGATCTTTCTGGCCATCAACTTTTGTACAGAGGGTTGGCAAGAAAGGTTACAGAAATGGTAGCTCCTAAAACAGGCACACCCTTGCATTCATGTTTTTTGACTTCAGACGATATTGTACAATTCATTTGTTTGTCAGTCTTGCCGCATGACAGGGCGTCAGAGAGGCTGGTGGTGACCTGCCTTAGTTTCTTTCAATGTCCAAGATGAGATTTTCATGTTCAGTCATGCCACTTCATGCCATGATCCTGTTGCCATTTAACCTCCAGTGCACTAAAGGGTGGGCACATGTCGACATCGACGCCTTGGAGAAAAGCAGCTGATCGTGTGTGCAGCGCCGTAGGATCCAGGGCCAGGCTCCGTCGAGGGCCTGTGAATTGCATTGGTAGCGCAGCAGCAGGTTCGGCGCCGCAGCACCTTCCAGCTGACGATGTTCTTCGATGACCTCTACGAAGACTTCGGCGCGGAGGATGAAGATGAGGACGCTGCCTTCTTTGATGGCGCTCCAGCCGAGCCAATGAATGAGGATGATGATGACGACCAGGTCTATGACTTTGACGACCTGGATGATGGTGGAGGACCAGCACGGCCGTTGGGACCTAACGGAAGCCCTTCCTCTTCAGCAGCTCCTTCAAGGAGAAGAGGATCTAGAGGCTCACGATCTTCACAACATGGCCAATCCGGTCCAAGCTCTCGCAAGTGGCGATCAGGCCACATCCCCGCCCCGCCGACCTTTGCGGGGAACGTGGAGGATGAGCCCTTCTGCTTGCGACATTACCGTCGCGCCCTGCGACGGTGGACAACGATTACAAAAGAGTTTTTGCCGGCCAACGAACAGGCCCTGAGAGCGCTCGACGCGCTCACGGGCGAAGCCGCCTTGGAGCTCGAGGAGGTGGACGATGAGCGCTATAACAAGGACACTGGAATCCAGCAGCTCCTCGATGACCTCGAGATCAGCTTCGGCGAGCGCGAACTGTTTCGACGCGGAGGACTGATCCGCGAGTACGAATCCCTGACGAGAGTCCAGGGAGAGTCAGTCTGTGCCTTCCTCCGGAGGTTCAGGCTCTATGAGAGGAAGCTCAAGGACGCCCAGGTCCCTCCCTATCCGGACGAGACTCGAGCGGTTAAGCTGCTCGATGGTCTACGCCTTGACGAACGTGCCACTTCGCAATTGCTCCTAGCTGCCGGCAATCGCTACAGCTTCCAAGCGCTGGTTGAAGCGATCCACATCCAATACCCAGCAGGGCTGACGCTGACGGGGATGTCTCGACATCCAGTCCCTGTCCACGTCGCTTCAGCCCCACGACATCGAGGCCGAGGACACCAGCCCCGAGGTCGAGGAAGAGGCGGAAGTTTCCGCTGGAAGACATGGCACACCGAGGCCATGCCTGCAGATGACGACCCAGTTGAGGAGGTCTTCATGACTGCCGGTGATGAAGTCCCACAGTATGAGAACGACCCGAACGACGACACCTTCGACTACCAGTTCGCTGACTATGATGAGCAGGCTGATGACTATGCAGCCGCAGCAGGGAGTTCGAGCCCGATGAACTCCCTGAACATGAGGCCGGCGATGACGCTGGCGATGAACACCAGGCCATGACGGCCACAAGCAAGCGCCTGGCTGCGACTGTGCAGTCAAGGGGCTACTACACCACTGCCAAAGACAAAGGCAAGGGCAAAGGCCATGGGCAAGGTGCTGGCAAGGACAAGGGCTTTGGCAAGAAGGGAACTACATCCTCTTCTTCGCCTACGACCACTTCCAAAGGAAAAGGGTCCGGCAAGTCCAAGGCCGGCTCAAAGGGTGGGAAGTCCAAGATGAACCCGACTCAGGGGCAGCGCATGCAGGCAAGTCTCTGCCTGGGTTGCGGTGCCTCAGATCACTGGCTTCGTGAATGCCCACATGTCACGCAGCACCAAGCACATGTATGCTCAGCTTCATCCACCCTGGATGGAGATGGCACTGTGGTTTGGATGGCAAGCCACAACAAGATGCCTGGATGGCAGCCTGAGCCTGATCCCACGCCCTCATCGTCTTCGGCACCTTCGACGCTGAGCCGGCGAGACGAGGAGGAACCACCTCCGCCGCCTCCGCCGAGGCAGGTCTTGACTGATGATGACAGCTTGCCGCCTTGGGAAGCCCTGGTGCCAGATGGATGGCACCCTGATGACTATGCCGACTATGAAGACGGCATGGCTTTCTGGAGGCAAGAAGCTCAGAGTTTGAATGCCCTCATGGACGAGAATGGCAACATCCCAATAAATGAGGGAGCTTCCTTCACCAGCAGGTTCTTTTCGAACCGCTCGGGCCACAGAGTCCGAATTTGCTTCTTGTGCACCAAGCAGAGCTCCGAGCGAATTTCATGACGCTCAGAGCGAGGCTCCCAGTGAAGCCACACTTGAAGTTTTTGGAACTTTCAATTCACCACCTCTGTTTTTGTCTAGCGTAGCAGCTTCATCTCATGATTTTCCTTCGCATGTCTCACGGGGTGAGGACCCAAGGACCTCAAGAGTAGAAGAACAATGGGGCGAGGACCCAAGGACCTCAAGAACGCAACAACGGGGCGAGGACCCAAGGACCTCAAGAGTTGATCAACAACCGGGAGAGGACCCAAGGACCTCAAGAGACATAGGCTGTCCACCGTTGACCCTTGAGGGTTACCCATTTCTAGCCGCCCAGCCGGCTCCCGTGGCATTGCCACCACCTGTGCCCTGGCGCCGAGCCATGGCATTTGAGGGGATCGCGAACGACGATGAGAACGGCAGGCCAGCTCGGCCGATGAACGAGCATCCCATGGTGAGGATGCGCCATTCTTCAGGTGCCGCAAGCACTTCTGCCTTGGCTGGTGGCTACCGGACCGAGACCTACTACCGGGTCCAGATGGTCTATGCCTCGCGAACAGCACGACCGCCTTCCTTGCTGCGGTCGGTTCCTGAGGAAGATGCTGATGGAAAGCCACTTGATCATTTGTTTCGTGCACCCCCAATCACCAACATGATGCAGTACACGGACGAGCCATGCCTGGCCATAGTGGACACTGGCTGTCAGCGACAAGTGGCTGGCCGCCGATGGCATGAGCTCCATCTCAACCACGTGCAGCTCCCCAGACTGTTTTTCGTGGAAAACTGTGCTTTTCGCTTCGGTCCGAGCAAGAGTTCGAGGTCAAGAGAAAGGTATGCATATCCAGCAGGTCTTGGAGGTCATTTTTGTGTGATGTTTTTCTCATGTGTTGAAGAAGATGCACCCGCTTTGATGTCACGCCACACCATGACCACACTCGATGCCATCCCGGACATTTCAACGGGCAAGATGATTTTTAGGGCTTTGGGCACCACTTCACAGCTGTATCTTTCTACCTGCGGTCACCTAGCAGTTCGCCTAGATGAATGGCCTGAAGAACTTCCAAGTTGGCCATGTCAGATGCCCTTGGACAAGAACGAGTTGCCTGATGTTTGGGCTCCGACTGCCACTCCGGTTCAAGCTCGACCACTTCCGAGTGCAAGACACCCTGCTGTGACACCACCCGGAGATGCCCGCTCCTCCTTCATGGCTGAGGCGCTGGCGTCAGCTGCTGGTCCACCTGTGGAACCTGGTGGTGACTGTGAGCAAGTCGGTGCTCCACTACGCCGCTTCGAGCTTGAAGCCACATCTGCGCGACGACATCATCAAGCAAACATGGCTCCCTGCACGGCGGCGACCATGCAGACCTCGATGGCAGCAATGGCAGCTCAGGCCAACATGCAGACCTTGACCTACCCGAGGGATCCATCGGAGTGCGAGCACCCCTCCGGCCTTCGAGCCTACGGGGCGGGAGGCCAGAGCGTTCGCATCTGCGACCAGTGCGGTTTCAGGGCGGTGATCCACAAGGGTCAGATGATCCGAGTGCAGCCCAAAGCAAGTCCTCATGCTCGAACCCCTCTACAATTGCCGGAGCACATCTCACAACACAGCAAAAGCAAAGCCGCCGGCAAAGCATCAAGCAAAGCCGCAGGCAAGAGCGCTCCCCCGGCAAAGTCAACTGGTTCCTCAGGACAGCAACGTTCTGGCTCGGGACCTTTCTTGCCTTTCTCTCAGGGCTACTTCTCGGGACCACCTCAGTATCCGAACTTGGCCAACATGACGCCTTCGCAGAGCTGGACTCATCAGCAGATCCTGCAACAGCAAGTCGAGGACCAGGTGCAACGTCGACTTCAAGAGATTGGTCCACGAGTGGAGGCGCAAGTTCAGCAACGCTTGGAGCAGATGGCTAAGGCGAAGGCGACAGCTCCTATGCCTTCGACTTTGACGGCGCCAGTACCGGAGATTCCTTTGGACAACGGTTCAGTAGCGAGCTGGGATCAGGTTGGCTCGCAATGGAACCAGGACTGGAACAACCCTTCGAACTGGGACCAGCCCTACGACTGGACAGAGGAGATCGAGGAGCAGCACGAGGACTTCGAGAACGACCTGGAGAACAGATGTCCCTGGACGGTTCGGCTCTTTGAATCCACAGCTGTCTGGGTCGGCCGACCGACCTTTGACCTTCGAGGACCGCGGTTTCCAGTTGCTCAAACCTGGACGCCGCAAGAGACTACTTCACACCGTTCGCCAGCTTCGTCAACTATGGCTCACAGAGTTGCAGATCTGTGACAATGTCATTCAGGCCGCACGGAAGCTCCGTCACACCTCTGAGGTTGACCTCATTGAGATCTATGGCGGCCACTGCAACATCACTGAGGAGGCTCTGTCACGAGGACTTCGATGCTTGCAGCCAGTGGACAAGATTCATGGAATCAGTCTCAACAGCAAAGCCGACTTTGCCTGGCTACAACGTCTTCTCCATCGATGGCGACCTCTGCTGACAGTTCTGGAGCCCGAATGTCGACTCTGGTCACCTCTGACTGGACTCAACTACTACTGGCGACCGGAAGAACTTGAACAACTTCGAGAAGAAGCGCAAGTCACCGTTGAAGGTGTTGCCAACATGATCCGCGACATCATCGCAGCGGATCGCTTCTTCCTTTTGGAGAACCCCCACAACGGGCAGTTTTGGAACCAATCTGCAATGCTCAAGCTCTTCAATGACTTTGAGCTCTACTATGACTACGGCAACATGTGCGCCTACGGTCTTCGTGGACGCAACGGTGGCCTGATTTGCAAACCCACTGGATGGTTGAGCAACAATCCAGCCTTGCTTGCGAGTGTCACTCACAAGGGCAACGGGCTTCATGAGCACGAAGAATGCATGGGAGGAAATGCCAAGCTAGCTGCTGTCTACACCAAGCAACTTGCTAAGTCCCTGGTGGATGCCTTCACCTCTGAAATGCAAGACCTTGGGGACGAGCGCTTCATTTTGGCTACTTCAACGAGTTCCTCCGCTACCAGCTTTCCTACTTCATCTAGCTCAAGAAGGCCCATGACACCTTCGAGGGCACCTTTGACCCCCATGCCAGGTACTCCAATGCCTGGAACTCCAGCATGGCCGGCTCCTTCTACACCTGGACCTGGCCCTATGCTTGAAGACGACCACGTCAGCTTGCAGAAGGACCCTGACAGCTGGCGACCTTTGTTGAAAGAGGCGGCAGAACGCCTTGAGGGAAAGGTGGCAGTTGCAGCGGAGATCAAACCCTCCGCCTTCCTGGAACAGGTGAAAGCTTTGGTTCCCTGGCATATCTCCTTCGCCCAGATCTACCGGACACCAAAGACACGTCGACTTCCGACTCAAAGGATGCTGAATGTGCCCGAGATCACTCATCGAGGCGCAGCACTCCTCTACCACGACAACACCATCGAGGTTGAGAGTCAGGCCTTGGAGGACCTCACCAATCCGAACTCCAGGTTCGAGCGAAGTGTACGCGTCGCCATCTTCATCTATGGCAAGCCCATGGCAGTGGAGACCTCAGCGCAGAGGCGAACTTTGTCCAAGCTGACTTCACCGCCAACTCCGGTGGCAGTCGAACCAGAGCAAACTATGAAACCTTGGGAACCAGGAGCTGCCGACATCTCCTTCCCTGGTTTGTCTGAAGATCAGGTTCCACGATGGATGCAAAACGCGCTGAAGCGCATTCACTCCAACCTGGGGCATCCATCATCGGCAACACTCATTCGTATGTTGTCACAAGCTCAAGCGAGCCCAGCTGCCTTGATCGGTGCACGTGCTTTGCGTTGTGCCGTTTGTGAACCAGCAAACCACCTCGAGAACCTCGACCTTCAAAGACACCACCACCTACCAGACGGTTCAATGAACGTGTGACGCTGGACCTGCTCTACACCAAGGACTCCTCAGGTGAGACCTTTGCCTTCCTGAATCAAGTTGACGATGCCACAACTCTTCAGGTACTCACCTTGGTCAATGACCGCAACTCCAGCACCATCACCTCAGCGCTTGTGAAAGGATGGTTCCAGCACTATGGTCTACCAGAGACTCTTTTGGTGGACGCTGAAGGTGCTATGAAGAGCTTCGCCTTTGACGAGCTCATGGCCCAGAGCAACATCATGGTTCGCTTTGTCCCTCCGGACGCTCACTGGCAGATGGGCAAGTGCGAGCGACATGGAGATGCAGCAAGAGCCATCCTGAACAAGCTGGTCGACCAACATGGTCTACTTGGCGCCGAGGACATGCAGACCGGCGCGGTGATGGCTTGCTTCGCCAAGAACACCCTCGCGAGGCGAGCTGGCAGTTCACCTGCTCAATGGGCACTTGGCCAAAATCCTCGACTACCTGCAGCAGTGCTCTCTGAGGGCGACAACCCCGAGGCAATGGAGCGACTCACGCTGTCCAACAAGCTGCAGCAGATCGAGAACCTGCGCTTCGACGCGATGCATGCCTTCCTGTCCTTCGAGAATGAGAACGCTTTGAGGCAGAGCATGCTTCGTCGTTCACGACCATGGAGAGGCCCCTATATGAGATCGGCCAGAAGTCGTTTACTACCGCCTTCGCAATGCCTTGGACGGCGAAGGATCTCAACCTGGCTATCGTCAAGGGCTGATCTTGGCCAAGGACCCGGGCATCAATGGAAGTCTATGGCTTCGCAACGACAGAGGCCGACTGGTGCAAGTGAGCCGCGAACAAGTTCGATGCCTCCAAGGAGACGAGATTTGGCTCCCAGATGAGAAGGATTTCAACCTTCTAAGGTCCGCTGAGCAGGACTTGGAAAAGAAACACGCCTCAGCTCACGACCTTCGTGATGCAGCACCACCTCCCGGACTCCTGAAGGTCCTCTCGAACCTGGCAGGCAACCTCTGGATGCTCCCGGTGAGTCAGTTGACCCACCGCCTGAAATTGCTGAACCCGAAGTTCCTGCTGACGCGCCTCTGGACCCCGCAGGGAATCCTTTGGGCAGTGAGCCTACAGCTCCGCTACCACTTCTGCTGGCACCTTCATCAC